GCTATATAATTTAAATGTTTACTATTAATTTTAAATAATATTAAAATATTTATATATTTTATATATTATATAACAAAAATATACATTTTATTTGTATAACAATATAATACATTATAAGTATTTTTTCTGTTACAGAAATCTAAACTTTTAATTCACACGATTATTACACACTATTGCTGTTTAAGCAAAGTACTATTTTAGAAGTTAGAAATAAGAAAATGGTCATGGAGGCATCCCCTTCTCCACAAAATGTCGGTCGTGAATTTGTCCGACAATATTATACTTTACTTAATCAAGCTCCTGCGCATCTCCATAGGTAATTTAATAATTTTTATAAAAAAAAATTGTATCTTTATTTCATATTACTAAAAAAATTATAATTTTAGATTCTATAATCAACATTCTTCTTTTGTACATGGAGGATTAGATTCAAATAGAGAATCTACTCCTGCAATTGGCCAAAAGCAAATACATCAAAAAATTCAACAATTAAACTTTCGAGATTGTCATGCTAAAATAAGTCAAGTTGATTCACAATTGACTCTTGAAAATGGTGTTGTTGTACAAGTAAGATATGATGATATTAATGATTATAAAAATTTAATTATTTTATATTTTTTATTATCTTTATTATATTTATTTAAAATATTATTTTATAATTAATATTTGAAAATTAGTTAAATTTATTATTAATAATTAAATTATTTACAGGTATCTGGAGAATTATCCAATGCTGGACAACCAATGCGCCGTTTTACACAAACATTTGTTTTGGCTATACAAGCACCAAAAACATATTATGTACATAATGACATATTTCGTTATCAAGATTTGATCTTTCCTGATGAAGAGGAAACGGATGTAGGTGTTGTAGAAGGAGGTGTAGGTGAATCTGGAGAAAGGGAAGGGGAAGAAGGAGGTCGTTCTGAACCGGAAGAAGATGAACATCAAAATCGAGGACAGCAACTTTCAGCACCAGCTGCATCTACTGAACCTCAAGCTCAGCCACCGCTTATCCCTGCACAACAACCTGTACTACAACAGCAGCAGCAAATATATTATGCTCCACCACCACAACAAACTCATGTTAGTTTAGTATTATAATTAAATTATTTAAATCATTCAATTCAATTCAATTCAATCACTATATAGATTTAATACTTTAGGTACATCCCGTAATGCAGCAAGTACTAAATGGATCGGTTCATGAAGAAACACCATTGATCAATCAACAACCACCACCTGCACAGCAGCAGCAACAGCAACAACAACCACCTCCACCACCTGCTCAACAACATCAATATATAACTGAAACTACATCACAAACACAATTTGTACAAGAAACAGAACTGGATTCCACTACTGAGCAGCAACAACAAACAGAAAATGAACCACAAGTACAATCAAATGAAACTCGAGAACAACCCGAAACTGAGTCATTTACCACATCTGTACAAGAATCTGAACCAGAACATCAAGTGGCAAATACAAATGTAACTAGTAGTGGGCCGAAAACATATGCTAATCTTGTTAAATCATTCCCCAGTACTACTGGAGCTACCAGCCCTCAAGCTCCCAAATTATCTATGTCACCGGTATATATTTCAATTATGATAGTTATTTTTAACAACATGTTTAATATCTCATTTATTTTATGATATTATATACATAAATTGGATATTTATAACAAAATATAAATATAAAATACGTTATAATATTTGTTCTCAGCCTCCATTGACAAACTTACGTTTAGACGATAGATCACCATTACATCCAACTAATAGTGGACCTACACTTTCTACATCAACTAGCGTTTCTACTCCTCAACAACAAACTCATAGAGTTGGTAATCAACAACCACAGCAACAGCAACATCAGCAACAACGAGCTCCAAGAGGAGGGGCAGTGCAACGAGGTAAAGACGTTTATTAAGAACGTAAATAAGTATTATTTTTTTATACTTTATGTTATATTCGTAATAACATTCATAATTATTAACAATTAATGATATTTATATTATAAATAATAAATTTTTTAGATGGTGATCGTCGGGGAACAAGACAAAGTCAATATAGCGATGCCCATCAACTCTTTCTTGGAAACTTACCGCACAATGCATCAGAAGATGATTTACGTCAAGTGTTTGAATCTTATGGTAGAGTGGTAGAATTACGTATACACAGTAAATCAAATGATAGGTGCAAAGGTCCACAAGGTAATAATACAGGAAAAGTGCCTAACTATGGATTTATCACTTTCGAAGATCAGCAAGTTGTTAGCAAAGTGTTGCAGAACTTGGTTAGTTTTTTTTTTTTTTTGTTAAAATATTTCTTTTAATCAATTAAAAGATTCATTATATATTTTTTTAATTTTAGCCAATTTACTATCCTGCTGAAAATGGACAAAAATTAAATGTTGAAGAAAAAAAAGTTAAGCCTAGAACAATGGAAGGCAGCGGTGGTCGATTGAATTCGAATGATGGTAGTATGAGAGCAATGGGCGGACAACAACAACAGCAACAACAACGTGGTCCCGGTATGTAATAAAAATTTATATAAATAATAGATTGAAACGATTTAAATTTAATGTTAAATAAATATAATAGCTACATAATATAAAATATAAAATGTAAATATTTAATATAATACAATGTAAAATAACATAAATTAAATGATTCATAGTATTCATTGTATTATAGTTAAATTATTGTAAGCTTTAATTATATTTTTTTCTTTTATAGGTGGACCTGGAGGAATGATGAGAGGTGGTCAACATGGTACAAGAGGTGGACGTGGAGGATTTTCACGAGGAGGTGATGGTGGAAGGGGAGGTGGTGGAATGCGGCAATCTGGTAATCCAAGCAATTTAAGTTACCAAAATCGTCGCTAATACTTCAAGCAACGTTAAAGGCACACCCCAGTTTCTTTTTTCTTCGGTCATCGATATATAATTATCATTCTCATTCTTAAATTCAAAATCCAGGACTATTTCGTATGCAACATAACGTGATTAAAGGCGCTATCCTTTTACGCTTAAACATCGCTTGCATCGTTCGTCAAGCAACAACTATAAATGACGCAGCTCAAATTGTATGGAATACGAACTCAAATAGGATTATCGCATTTATGCTAAGTTCGTCGTGTTTGTGGATAAGGAATAATGATTTAATAAAATAATTCATTGAACATTCAACTTAATTGGTTGGATATTTGATGAAGTAACTATGAGTTCGTCCTTCATACATCGACGTCAGACAATTTACAAGACTTTACGATGAAAACAAAACTGCATCCATTTGCATATGTACGTATAACAGAGCGACGTGTGATATCCTGTTTTGAGATATGGGTGTGTTTTTGTCTCCTAATACGTAGCCCACATTTCTTAAAAGCCAATATTCAAGAAACAAAATTGTTGCCAATTTTTGTGATAGAGTGCAGGAGAAAAGTTGAACTAAGAAAACGTTATCGAAACACATATGTGGCATACAGAAACAAGATATAGTGATAGAAATATACATCATACATATATACACATATAATATATGTCGAAGTAGGATTTGGTAACGTATTTTTTGTTTTCTATTGGATAAATATTACGAAAGTCATACGTCGCTCTTTTAGTTTTCTTCGTTTGCCAATCGTATTCAGGAGACATAAGCGGTGCGAATTCCGCTCTCGTATAAGTAAGTCACGAGCCAAATTAAACGAAATTAAAACGAGAGGATACGAATCGTTTTAACTATGAAATATCGTACATTTCATATGCTCTCGAGTTAATTCATTGACTGCCGATAAAACGTTCCACCTACATGTAGAAAGTCGGCAATAATGTTTATAGGTGGTAGTTGGTCGGTGTTGGTTAACGAGTAGAGAACTGCGGCTGTTCTGTGGTCGCATACAAAAAGACACAGTCGATTTTTTCACAAAACATGGCCAATTATCAATCGACCGGTATCGATTGATAGTGGGGCAGTATCCTTAGACTGCAGCTGGTCTCGCCGTTTCCTAATTCATCCGCGTGTCGCTTATGCTCTATTTTGTTCCAATCTGCTAATTTTTGTTCGATTTTTTTTTTTTTCTATTCCATATGTATCTTTACATATTAAGCTCTTGCTTTTTCTTCTTATGTTAATCATCATCTCTTTCTTATTTAGTCT